CCCCCGACCCCCCAGTCCAAAACAGTCCAGTGGCATCTTTAAGACCAAGTTTTATTCAGGTACAAGCTCTCCCTCCTCTGCGAGGACAGACCTGCACATTCCCCCCCCCCCAATAGCTAGGAATCCAAAACAGTCCAGTGGAGCCTGAGCGGTGGGTGTTGCCTTCTGATACACTTCCGGTGATGTCAAGGGGTGTGGCATATGCAAATAAGTTACGCTAATGAGTTATGCTAATGAGCTCCTGCGCCTCTTTTTCTACGAAATGACCCCCGATTACCACTAATGAGTTTTTATTTATAATTCCAGGTGACAAAGCAGAATATTTGATAGTAACTGTTACAAAATACTTTTATTTGTTGCATATTTCTATAGATTAGTACATACACTGTTATAGCTGGTATTAGAAGTTGCCACCTCTAACAAAAACAGTATAATCACACCTTGTATTGTGTGATTGTATTGCTCCTTTTGCTTCTGAGTGAAATTTAACAATGCTGACACAAAATTAAATTATCGTATGGCATTGTGTATAGAATAGCTGGGAGATCCAAAGATTGTCTGGCAGGCACAAGTTCTAGCTCTTAGGAGCTGGGTATGTTTAGCCTGGAGAGGAGATGACTGAGAGGTGATATGATAACCATCTTCAAGTACCTGAAGGGCTGTCATCTAGAGGATGGTGTGGAGTTGTTCTCTGTTTCTCCAGATCGGACCAGAACCAATTAAATCAGAAGAGTTTTCAGCTAAACATTAGGAAGAACTTCCTGACAGTTAGAGTGTTTCCTCAGTGGAACAGGCTTCCTTGGGAAGTGGTGGGCTCTCCTTCTTTGGAGGTTTTCAAACAGAGGCTAGATGGCCATCTGACAGCAATACGGATTCTGTGAACTTAATTCAGATCATGAGAGGGAGGGCAGGAAGGGTTGCCTCAGTGCTTAGTTCTTGTGGCCCTTTTTTACATGTCCACAGAAATGGTGATTGCCACTTTGGGGTCAGGATAGGGCTGCCAAGTCCCCCTGGGGGCAGATTTCCCCCCGCTTTGGAGGCCCGATTTCCGCCACCTCGGAATCGGGCCCTGGGGGAAACCCCACCCCGGCATGCACGTCAGCCGGATGTGACGTGCTGACGCCGGGCATGCTGGGGACGGGGCCACAGCCATCTGAGGGGAAAACTGAGGGGATGCTGGCCGGGAGCCCCCTGCCACTGAGAAAAACGCACTTGGCAACACTAGATCAGGAAGCAATCCTGGAGGAGTTTTTTGTTGTCTTCTGGGCATGGAACAGCGATCACTGTGGGTGTAGAGGGGGAGGTATTTGTGAATTTCCTGCGTTGTGCAGGGGGTTGGACTAGATGACCCTGGAGGTCCCTTCCAACTCTATGATTCTATGATTATGATAGTGGTGAGCTAGGGGCTGAGAGAGCTCTGAAAGAATTGTGACTGACCCAGGGTCACCCAGCTGGCTTCAAGTGGAAGAGTGGGAAATCAATCCCAGTTCTCCAGATTAGAGTCCATTACTCTTAACCACTACACCAAACTGACTCAAATACTTACCCACCCATACCACTCTAACTGTGCCACTCAACTTTGTAAATGTACTTTAACACTCAGCATGTCTGCAAAAGATACTGGGCATTGATTGACAGGATTTTCATCATAGCTATAATGTGTCCCTTCAGAATTGTGATGAATTTCCTGAGGGATGGAAATAATTGCCATTGGGCACTCTAGTAAAGTCTGTGATCATTCAGGCCCTTATACTTGGGGATTACCTTACAAATTCAGCCTGTAGACCTTTTTCTCTGAAAATCTGGTATCAGATATACACTGCAGGAAGAAGCAGGGAGGGGAAAACCCAGTTTAGAAATCTGTTAGTAACTTCTGGAATTTTTCAGAAAAAGCCATTTGGTTGGAAAAATGAATAGCCTTCTATGTAGGAAGTATAAAGACAGTCTATACACCAGAACAGACCATAATCGGGCCCAGATGTACGTGTTTAAAATCAAATCTGTGTGACAGATTGTATCCATAATTTTTAAAAGACTAAAGCTTGATGGATGTTTCATTTCATAATACTTTGAGATAAAAGTGGACAGTAAATACAAAAAAGGATTAGAACAAGAAGGACTCTGGAGAGGAGTCATAAAAATCTCCTAAATACATAAATAAAATGCTGATTTGTTATCAGGCAAAGGGTAACTCATGTTTCTTTAAGTAAACCTGAATTTGACTCATGAATTAGGAAGAAGAGAGCCAAAAAATAGTTCTCTACTCTTAAATTGGAGTAAAAGGTTTGTGCTAAGTGAATAAAATGCCTAATAAAACTCTCTGTGTACAGTGAATATCAGGTATTACCCTAATTTCACAGGTGTTATATTCAATTTAGGACTTTAATACAGTTAGGCCAAAAGGATGATACAGCATTTTGGTTGAAATTCACAAACTTAATTAAGCCAGAGTTTAGTTCTCTAGATTCCTATGAGAACAATGGTCTAGTTGTAAAACGAGCTGAACAAACTAGCCAACAAAGCTCACTGCTGCAAAACATTTTCTGGTGTCAATATTGCAGTAGTATTGCACTATTGAAACAAGCAAACCCAATGGTATTGTGACAGTACTATAGAGTACTGTCAAATAAGGTGATGGATTTTCCCTGTAATATTTTATTTAGCTAATGGCTGAAGATGTTTTTCAATAAGCACTAATGCCTTGAAGATGTTTCTCTAAAAGCCCATTAGTTCTGGGCCAGGACATGACTCCCAGCCAGGGAAATGAACTCATGATTGTAAAATGTGTGTGTTTGTATGTCTGTCTGTCTGTCTGTCTGTCTGTCTGTCTGTCTGTCTGTCTGTCTGTCGGTGGCACTAGAGACAGCTGTTTTGAAGTTACAAAAAAGAAAACAAGGGAAATTAAGATCTGAGATTAAGAACAGACAAGATGCCAAGAGATTTGCAATTGGATCATCTCAGTGATTGTTAAACAGCAACTTCTATAGTACGCCCCCCACCCCGTGTTTGCAAAAAACCCTCTCCTTACTTTACACCTGGCCCTGATCTATGGATTTAAGTATCTACAGAAAAGGTAGGGTTGGCTATTAGATAATATAGATATGATGGGGAAAAGGCATCCTGTCATTTCCCGTCCTTTTCCCCTTTAATATCCCAGAACATTCTAGGTACAGGGCAGGTCAGCTGAGCTGCAGCATGAGCAAGGTGAGGCACGGGCACAACTGGCACAGTGTCTAGCTCCCAGGTCGAACACTATGTAGGTAATTTGGCAGCAGCAACAGTTTTGTGGGCAAATCCAGAAATCAGAGTCAAAACACAGTACAAAGGTTCAGAGAGAGGAGTAAGGGGCAGGGGCAGTGGCAGTGGCAGCAAGGTTGGGAGTAAAATGACACATGGCTCCCACAGCCAATCTCCCCCTTTCTCCACCCTTTGTAACAGAGTCACCCGTCTTGCAGTTGGATTGCATCATGCAGGTGCACACGCACCCATCCTCACTTTCTGAATCCAGGCGTCACTGGGCTGCTAACCGGGCAGTCTGCCATCTTTCCAACATCTCATGTCTAACCCTCCTTCACCTATACTCCAACAGTTCTGGAGATTGGGAAGGTGAGGTGGATGGTGGGATGCTCCCTGATACTGAGCCATGG